AACCGAATAGGAATGGCCTCCAACCGAATAGGAATGGCCTCCAACCGAATAGGAATGGCCTCCAACCGAATAGGAATGGCCTCCAACCTAATAGGAATGGCCTCCAACCGAATAGGAATGGCCTCCAACCTGATACGAATGGCCTCCAACCTGATAGGAATGGCCTCCAACCTGATACGAATGGCCTCCAACCTGATAGGAATGGCCTCCAACCTAATAGCAATGGCCTCCAACCTAATAGCATTGGCCTCCAACCTAATAGCAATGGCCTCCTAACTAATAGCAGTGGCCTCCAACCTGACAGGAATGGCCTCCAACCTGATAGCAACGGCCTCCAACCTAATAGGAATGGCCTCCAACCGAATAGGAATGGCCTCCAACCTAATAGCAATCACCTCCAAACTAATCGGAATGGCCTCCAACCTGGTAGCAATGGCCTCCCAACCTGATAGGATTGGCCGCCAACCGAATAGGAATTGCCTCCAGCCTAGTAGGAATGGCCTCCAACCTAGTAGGAATGGACTCCAACCTAATAGGCCTGATAGGAAACCCAATAGGAATGGCCTCCAACCTACTAGGAATGGCCTCCAACCCAATAGCAATGGCCTCCAACCTAATAGCAGTAGTTAAGACTAGAAAAGTAGTTTAAGTAGTTGGTGACTACTTGTTACTTAAGCTTTGCACAGCCCAGCCCAGCATACATTCGAGGACTTATACTACGTTCGCTGGTGATCAGGGCAATTTTGGGCCTTTGGTTGAAAGGTCGGTTTGACGTCATTCAAAAAATCAGAGGATTGAGGGCACCGACCTCCTAGGGCGAAGGTTTTTGAGTTTGACTCAGCTGAAGCAGCTTTCAACAAAGACCTGACGTCAAAAAAGAAGCTAAGCTCAAAAAATATGGTTGCGGCGCTGTCGAGTATGCTCGCACATGCAGAACACACGTGCGTAAAATGCAAGGGGAACAGCTTAAAAAATGTGCAAAAATATGCAACGGGTCTACAAACTCTTCATCACATGTCACATGTCCAGTTCATTTTTGAAGGAGGGCAGCCTTCTCAGCTACAGTAACCCGAAGCGCTCCAGACTCCAGCCTTTTCCAAGCTGGCAGCTCTGTTCATGTTTTCATATGTTTTCCCAATGTTTTGTCTTTGCCTGTACACAAACCTGGCTAAACCTGGTCAGTTCGAGAAGCCAAGACCATGGGTGTTCACCAATGCGCACCTTCTGAGCGCCGCTGGAGCTGTTCCGCTTCTGCACGAAGAGCCTCCCAAAAGGCTGTCAAAACATGCATGATCTACAGATCCGGTATCATTGTCCAATGGACCAATAGCGCAACTATTGCAAAACCACCTCAGTTCATGTTGCGCAAAAGTAGTCACCGATCCCTTGATGTTTCTCCGCTCTGCAGTCACCTTGACTTGCACCGTGAGCTCCTTCACACGAGCGTGAAGTGGTTCGATGACCTCATGCGGGAAGCTCTCACTCCATGTTTGAAGATTCATCACAAACGGTCTGAAGAAGTCTGAAGAATATATGGTCGGATGCTGGCATGAGATCTAATCGATGTATTCCAGAGCTGCTCAGTTTCCCACCTCGACTTCTATGGAGCTTGTGAGCTCATCCAGCTGCGCCTCCAAAAAATGCTATGGATTCAGGGGAAGAGACACGACGGCCGCTGGTTGGCATCATGTTTTCCTTTGGGCCTCAGAAAGGCTGCCTGACTGACCTGAGTCATCTGAGATTCCACGTCACATACCAGGCGATGACTGAGGAAACAACTTGACGAGGTCTGCATGAGATGTCTCACCTGCAACATAACAAGAAATACATGGAATGAAAGGATCAACTGAAGACACTTCATGGTCAGAGATGTTTTGAGAATTCGAATAAGACAATTCTGTATATATATATATACAGGAATTAGCTTCTGTAAACCTGCTTCAGCTCGTCAGCCACTAACGGAGCTAAATCTCCTCAGATCGACAAAGACTGAGTCTTGGAGTACACAGCGACCAAGGTTGGCCAAGGAACGACCCAAGCGCTGCGCTGCTTGTTCATGTTCGGCGGCAATGCCCTGAAATGAGACAAAGACAGGGATTTCGAGGAGTCGAAAGGAAGGGATGCGAGCAGTGCTGGTAAGCATGGGATAGTCGGATAGCCCTAAAGGGTAGCCGAAGAATGCAAGAAGGTTTACAAGTCTTGTAAGGTTTAGTGTAACAGGGAAGATTGCAAGCCCTCCTGCAAGCACTCTGTCATGCGTTCGCGAAAGACGGATAGCATTTCTGTCACCTCAAGGACTTTCTTCAAGTACAACATTGCTGCATAGACACAACTACATACAAATTTACCAGAATGTACCCAGAAGTCAAAAAGATCCCAAGAGCGCAAAAGCTGCATGCAGGCTTTTTCCAATGCGCTTTGGTTGATGCTGGGGTCCTCCCCCCGGCCCTGTATCACTTGGACAGTTTCAAACTGCCCTGGGCTTCGCCAGGGGGACAAGGGTGTGTCAGGCAGTAGGATTCGCCCACCGCTGCCAAACACCCGAATGTCCCTTGGCCTCCCAGGGCCAATGGGCACCTGTCGAGGTGCCAGGGGACAGGGTGGGGAGGAAAATTCACCGGATCCGGTCACGGGATCTTGGGTGGGCAACTAGGAAATTCCCGTTGAGGACAAAAGTCTTGTGGCAAAAGGAAAAACAAAGAGAGTCTCCGGGGCCGGTAACCGGCAATCTAAGGAGAACCCTTCAAAGTCAGGATGAGTCAGTTCATCCGCCCAGGTGTTGTATTCCCTGGGGACGTGATTGGGAGCAATGCTACAGCCCTCACAATGAAGGAAGAGAACCAATTCCATCAGCAGGGCTGCCAAGTACGGTTTCTTGGCCGAGAGGTTGAGCAGGCTGAAGATGTTGCCTGAGTTGTCACTGCCAACCGGGAGACGAACTCGTCCCGGAAGTTGGCCCTGTCGGGCAACCAGGTGCTTGGAGAAGTAGAGTGCCCAGGAGTTCCAAGGCAGCAATGCGTTTCTGGGGGTTGCCATCCTTGAATGCCCACAAATGGGCGTCTGCTGTGATGGCATAGTGAAACCATAGGACCTTGTCCTTGGTCTTGGTGGGGTTCGGGGAGCCGAGCACCAGCCCCCAACATAGGCTTCACCTGCCCTCGATGCACTAGCATCGCTGCATCCCCACCAAGGAGACTTCGGCAAGAATGGTGAGTACTGTTCAAAGGGATGCGTGAAGAGCTCCTTCAGGAGAGAAGCCAGCATACGGACCACCTTGGGCGGATGGCCGCCATCTTCCAAGCCCAGAGTGGTTGGAGCAAAGACTTGGTCAGGGGGCAGCACGCTGTGGCCCACTGGATCCGTCCCATTGCCTTCTCAATGGCCTTTGCTGACATGGGGGATCCATTGGCGAGTTCCTCCAGGAGCTCCATGACCTTGATGCGCTTTGGGGCCGCCATCCGGACTCGAGGTATGGTTGGGTGGATCACGAACCCAAGTGTTGATCTCTGCCAAGTGAGTCTTCTTCCAGCTGAGGGGCGTTCCCAACGCCAGCAGTGTGCCCAAGAGAGCCGCGGTGAATTGCGGCTTCGTGGGTAAGCGAAGTAGCCAGCAGAAATCATCGACGACCAGTCGATCTGGGGCAAGGCTGTCCTCGGCGGGCCAATCCCAGGTTGGAGCTGGGTCATCCAGGCCCCTTGCCCGCTCAGGCCCAAAGGCTCCTGGGCTAGGCCGGGGACGTGTGCCGGCCTCAGTCTGTCTGGCGGCGTGGAGCCAATGGATGGCATGGACACAGTCCAGGAGTGTGGGTGCTGTGTCCGCTCCTTAGTGTTTTGTTGGATCTTGGCATTCGCTCCCCCGACCGATCCATCATAGATGGTTCGGACCTCATCTCCCTCATCGATTCCTGCCAGGGGGCCTGGGCAGAGCTCTGTCGGGTCACATCCACAGAGTTCGGCCGCTTGTTGTTGAGACAGCGGGCCAACCGTCATTCCCAATGGGACTTCCTCTGCGAAGGTGGCCCGGATCTCTTTGGAAAAGTCCGCTGCCGATGGGTAATTGTGGTGTCCTTTGAGGTCATCCAGCGGCGCTTCCACTGGGTTTTCTCCCGCGAGTTCGCTCTTGAGGTGCCACACTTGCGGGGAGGGGAGGGTGGGGACCGATACCCCTACAAAATCTGAGGGTACTGCCAATCTGGGTCCCCGGCTGTGTTTGCGAGCTGAGAGATCAGTTCCGTAGAAGGGTTGCCCGTCTGGTGTGGTATGTTGGTGGCCGGGGTGGAGGATCTGTCTGATGTCCTCCAGCAGTGGATCCGGATACGGGTGTTGTTTGGATCCGCACGTAATCGACTTGGTCGGTGGTCAGTGCCAGGATATTGGCTCCTAAGCGGGCCACGTCACGTAGCGGTCTGGTCTTGAAAGCCACCTGAAGGCGCATCAGGGGATCATGGATCGAGAGATCCTCTGAGATGGGGTCATACTTGGGGCAGTCAGACCACGCCGTACTGGTGTGCCACGTGTCCACAGATTGAAGGTGCCCCAGGGGTTGGTGCCCAAAGTGGTTGCAGCGGAGGTCCTGCCAGTGGTGTAATGGGAGGTCAGGCCGCCGCAGGTTGGCCCCCAAGTTCCAGGGACTCGTCCGGGTTGCCCGCCAAGCAAGCCACCGCCAGTAGTTCGCCATCAGTTTTGCGGGGGCCCTCATCCACCAAGGTATCAAAAATATGGCGGGGCAGCGAGTCCCAAGCACGACAGTAAGGTGTGCGATTCAGGAAAGCCTCACTAGTAAAATTCATGGCGTCACAAGACCGCCAAACCAAGCCAGCTTCCCAAAGAAGCCTAAATTCACCGAAGCAAGGGGCAAAGTCCAATTAGTCCGGGGGGAAGAGAAAAGAGGGGGGAGAAGCACATCTAGCAGACTCAAAAACAAAGCACATCACAGTCCACACAACACAGCTCTGCATTGCAGATCCAGCACCTGGTGGCATTGTCCGGCCAGGGTGTCATACATTTGCCACACATGGAGTGGAAGGGCATGTCCCCTGCAGGCCGGTGGAGGCCTCGATGCTCCGTCAGGCCGGACTTGTCAGTGGCCTTCTGATATTTCTGTGTCCATACCCGCTCCTGCATAGCCAGAGCCCGCAAGCCGCAAGCGGATGTACTGCTTGATGATGCGGGCGACCACTGGTGTGGAGAGTGGATAGCCCGTGAACTGGTCGAAGAGCTGGACCATCTCCTTCTCCGTGCATGAGGTGAGGAGCCCCGCCAGGTGGCCCGGGATGGGCGGAAAGGAGTCCGGGAACATGGCAATCCGGACGTGCCCTCACCGGGATGAACTGGATGGGCATAGGGACCGATGCCATTGTCGCTCCAGAGGCCCGCGTGAAGCCCGGCAAGGTAGGTGTCTTGGATGTTGGTTCCTCCTCTTCTGTGGAGCTGGCCTCTTGCTCGGCCGTGGAGGCTCTGGAGCTTGGTCCTTCGCCGGAGGTGTAGAAGGCGCCGGAGCCGCCGCCATGGCATCTACAGGATCTACCGAATACCCTGCCGGCGCAGGGGGCGTGAAACCTAGGCCCGCTCGCTCACTGTTGTCGTCCTCCATCTGCTGAGGTGGGGCGGTGGGTCGTGGCTCCACCGAGACAGGCCAGGCCAACGGTGGTTCCGCCAGGGATCGCAGGCTGGGCCTCCGCTGCAGAAAGGTGTAGGACTCAAGGTCGGTGCCACTGCTGCCGCAGTCGCTCCCCGCAGCACCAGGTGCAGCGGGCGGGTTGCCAGCGCCGCCATCATCCGGGGCGTCCAGCCCCAGGAGGTCCATGCCCATGCCCGCATCCTCTCTGTTGGCGATCTGGACCTTGAGTTCCTGCAAGTGTCGCTCCAGTTGGCGAATCTGCTCTTGAGCATCAAGCTCGGAGACCAGGACGGGCTGCCCAAAAACGGCAAGGCCCCGAGCCCCTTCCGCCTCCGCATGACGGAGGGCTGTAGACGCAGCATCTGCTGCCCGGTCCAAACTCTCAATGCCCGGGCTACTGACCGTAGCCGAATCCCCATCGTCTGGTTGGGCGTCTCTGAAAGATTCGGTCATCACATACTCCGCTTCCATCGGGTGCGCCATTGCGTCGTGTTCACCAAAAACACCGATGTACTGGGGAGTTTCTTCAGAGGTTCAGGTGCAATCCTGTGGATGATTGCCACCAACTTGAGCCAAAATGTCCCGGTGGGACATTTTGTGAACTTCAGTGAACATAAAACTTGCATCCGCAAGCTACATGCAAGTGTGAATATATACTATACATGTATATTATATGCTGTTTACTATATACTGTTAATACCACACAAATCGTTGGATTTGCTCCAAGCATCGAGCTCTTAGACCAATGAGTGGCCCTAAATCTTGCTCGAAATGGGACCGCAGCTCCGTCTGGCAAACAAGGCGAAAAGCATTGCTACTAGTAACAAGAAGCTCCGAGGTGGAGGCCATCGCTACTAGTAACAAGAAGCTTTAAAAGATTTGCTGCGCCAGGTTGCTGCAAGCGTGACTCAAAGTGCCTTGAAAACAGGAGTAAGAGTCTCCTCAAGCGCCTGGCAGAAGCAAACCAAAATTCTGGTTCAAACGGTTGTATAGATAGATTTAGAACATCTACAACTTCACAATCATCCCTAAAAATATTCTCGGCATGACCACCACATTGCCTCAGACAGCGCATGGCCAAGGGATTCCTGAATCTCTGGCGGCCGCAGCACCTCGAGCGCCTTCAACACAGGTTTGAAAGCTCAATCAACATCTGAAACACCTAACGCCTCACATACCTCATCCTCATATGACTCTGATGGACTTTTCCCCTTCCTCGTGTTTTTTTGAGGCCCAACTGCTGGGCACGCCTGCTGATGACTGTATTGGCTGAGTATGTTGGCTTCCAAGATTCACAGATTCAACGCATGCCTGCTTCGTTGCAGCAGCTCCAGACTTCTGCACCCCTCTGGCCAAAGCCTCACAAAACCTCCGCAACGGCAGATTGAACTCTGTGAACGTTGCTGAAACCATGATTGATGTTGTCTTTGGCAAAGGCATTGCTTAGAGCCTACATGACAGCCAGAACTAACTAATGTAACTGTTCTATGCCACCCCGGCTTAGCCCAAGCTAAGCGGGGCGGCGCCTGGACACCGCAGGGTGGAAACCTCATCCTTGCCCACGTTCCCTGGCCTCCACGCCTCTTGCCGTGGGCTTGCAGCAGAATGGGGGAAATCCATGGTGAGACCGCCGGGTGTGGAGAGTTGGGCGGAGGCTGGGCTCACCTCTCTGCTTCGCTCATCTGTCTTTCATGGAGTTTGAAAACTCATGCCTACCCTTCGACAGGGGCCAGAGAGGGGCGTGGCCGGAGCCGGTTGGGAGCAGAGTTGGCAGTTAGATGGGGGAAAGCTGTGGCAAGATCGCCGGGGGCGGAGAGTCGGGCGAAGGCTTGCTCACCTCACGGTTTCATGTATCCTTGTTTTCCCCCTCGCGATCAATTGGAAGTTCTGGCAGCCAAGGGGTATTTCCTCAGAGTGCTTGGTCTCCCCGTCGCCTGCTCGGAACATTGTACTACCAAATGTTTGGAGCAAATACCGGGCCTTGTCTCCTGCACATGAGAGCTTCAGCCGGGAGCAAGACTGGGCGCATCTGATACCCTTCTACCTCCATGATAACGGTGCTCGTACATACCAGAAGGCCACCATCCGGACGATGTTCAGCGCCTTCGGAGCAGGCAATGGCATGAATCGTCAAGTTGCAGCCGTCAGGAAAGGGCCCGAAGCGGCCACATTGGTCCATGGACGGCATCAGCTTTGAAGCGGGTGTGAACGTGTGGGGGAATATTCTGACTTGCCGGTTCGTATTCACAGCTTTGAAGTGCGAGCTCTACAAGGAAAGTTCCGTAGGTTCAAGTCCCTTCTGGACCAGTGGGGTCAGTTTTTGGGATCTCTCCTTACTGATGGGTTTGCTCATGGCGGTGGTGTTGGTCATCCCTGGAGATGCCCCTTTCTTACGTGAAGCCGCGAAGCCGGAATGCACAACAGATCGTGAGGAAGTCTGACCAATCTCGAGCAGCATTGGCTGGTGTATGCTGGTTGTGTTCTGGAAAGACAGGGGACCCTCCATTTGAGCACGCGAGGACCGCGACATGGACAGAGACACCTGGTCCCAAAAGTTCGGATGAACCGTCTCCCCCCACTTGAACCGCCGGTGAATGATTCTGATCTTGGTGGTCAGGCTCCACTATTTTCCTGGGGGGTCCCGGGCCTCAGCCCGACTTGTGAGCAAATGACACGCAACCAAAAAAAACTGAGTCTCCCACTTTCTCGACTGTGACAATTCTTTGGCCAAAACGAAAGCAACTTCATCTGACATCTGTTCAAATTCCTGGCACGCTTCGCCGCTCGACGTCATCAGAGAGGGAGTCGGGCTTCGCCACAAAAGCTCTATAGCAAACTCATGCAGTTTCATGTGATAGTCTAACAACTGTTGAAGGCAGCTAATTTGCTACTAGGAGCAAAGGGCATCGCTACTTTCTGAATACAACGAAATAGTTTCTGAAGACTAGTTTCTGAATACAGCGCAGTTTCCGAATACGACTTTGTTCATCGCTACTAGGAGCAAAGGGCATCGCTACTGGGAGCAAAGGCCTCAACACCCTCAAATGAATTCCAAGACTTCAATCAACGCAGCTCCCTGAAGCGGAGCCTTGGACACAAGGGTAGACATGCTAGTGGCGGACGTCTCGGCCCATGCATCAGCAGCCTGAAAGATGGACCGAGAGAGAACCTGCCTGGCAAATTCTGACCATATTTTGTATTATATATATATATATATATTTGGTGAACGCGACGACAGGCCGACGACGAGATATCGATGGCTGGACTTTGGACACCAATGGACACGCACGCAAATTGGCACAATGGCTTAGTGACAATCAAGCGCACCCTACAACTTGCGTATGCTTGCAACAGTAAATTTGCAAAGAAGAGCATCAAAGCCACATGACATCATCTGGCACAGCATCCTAGCTCTGCATGTCATGATAAACAATCATAAACAAATCAACAGAATGATTGTTTGACAAAGAAAGATACACCAGCATCGACCCCAAACAGCAGCGGCAGCTTGATATTCTTGGCGAACGTCGCTTGCAGTTGCAGTGCCCAACCCCAGTCAACCAAAAGCATACCTGTCATTCAGACAAGGTAAGCAAAGGGAGCCAAAGCAGAATCAGCTCAGCCCACAATCCAGAAGAGCCATGACGACAAAGGGAGACAAGCAAAATATAGCAAAATCATCTCAGCCCAGCATCAAGAAGAGCCATGACAGACAAGGGGAGGGGCACAAGCAAATCATCTCAACCCACCACCAGCAAAACTATGCAGGACAAAGGTAGACCCACGGAATCATCTCAGCCAGCATCCAAAAAACCAGCAACCAAGAAGAGCCATGGGAGAAACAAAATAGAACAAAAGGCAAGAAATCATCTTGGCCCAGGCTCGTTTCCAAGCAAGAATTGAGAATCCCTCACAGCAAAACTGCTTGGGGAACAAGGGAGACAAAGCAAAATCATCTCAGCCCAGCATCCAGACATGCCATTGAAAACAAGGAGAGACAAAGCAAAGTGATCCCAGCCCAGCATCCAGACACGCCATGGGGGACAAGGGGAGACGAAGGGAGACAAAGCAAAGTCATCTCAGCCCAGCATCCAGACACGCCATGGGAGACAAGGGGAGACAAAGGACGGGAATCATCTTGGCCCAGCATCGTTTCTATGCAAGCATTGAGAACCCCTCACAGCAAAGCTGTTTGGGGAAAAATGCATTTCACGAACCCTCAATGTGTCTACCTAAGACTGTGGCCTGTTGGACTGCTGCCTGCAAATTCTTCTCACTGACGGCTTGCGCCTTTCGAGATAAATGAAAGCGAAATGCATCCTTTCGACATTGCGAGGCAAACACAATAGTAGCGTCCTTGCTCCTAAAATCAAAGGAAAACATCCTGCCACTGTATTTCAGAAGATCTGTGAGATCTCTCACGTCTCGCGAGGTCTTTTGATTGCCTCCCTCACGTCTTTCACCTTTGCAAGCACCTCCAATGACCAGTGTGCAAGAGGCTTCAGAAGTCATAAGCCTTTTTGAAAGCTCTGCCTGGTTGAGCACTTCCAAGTCTGAGACACCCGACTTCCTTGGCAAAACATCCAGTTGGGCATTCCGACCAGATTTTTTCGGTGAACCTTTCAACTCACTGAATCTCAGCCCAGCTGCCCAACCTGACTCTTCACCACCTTAGAGAAGGTCTAACATGCGTGCAACTCCCCTATCCTGTCTAGCCCGCATCCAAGGCACCTCTGAGACGATCTTTTCTGCAAGCTCCCCCTTCCTGCGAGCACATACACAATTCACATATTAGCATGTACAATTTATGTCGGCAAAGCGCCACTCCACTCCATGTGTATTTGCGAGCCTTTTGTCCAAACCCCGTGCGTATGATGCAGCAATCTGCCTCCTTAGCTTCTCCAATCACAAACACCTTTCGAAACGCCGAGCAGGCCGAGCACGCATGTCAAATCCTCTTGTCAAGTGGCACAAATCTCCAGTCCACTTCATGCCTTTGGGAACTGCTTGCAGCCTTGGGTTCCAAAGCGACAAACAATCTGATCCGAAAGTGTGATGTGGCTGCAATAATCAAGCAGTTCTGATCATGGTCATCCAGTCCAACGAAGGTCATCCTGTAACTTAGGCTCACACGAGTGTCTCCGGCTCATCCCCAAAAGGTTCAGCCTCCTCGAACAGTGATGGTGGTGGAGGATCGTGGGCCATCTGGCCCTCTGAATTCGATCACGGTGGATTGTTGGCTTAGAAAAGTGGAACACTTGTGTTTTTTTGCAGATTCATCAAGGTTTCAATGAATCTGTGCATACACTTTTACCCACGTGGAGTAGTTTAGACTTCCACCCAGCATACAAAGCACGCATCAAAACGCGCGTGAGAGAAGTGGTTGAAGTTCATAGTACAATTGTGACACTGCAGTCGTCGGCTTTCTCAAACAACTTGTGCCATTGAGGCTTTCATGCTTGACAGACTCAACTACTCAACTCAGACCCGGGGCCAGGATGTCCGACAAACGTCGAAGCCAACTCAACCAGTCTTGGTGTCTGTGTCTCACGACTTTCAGCAGTTTCAGCTAAGAAGCCTTGATGGTGATAGTATGTTATGCTCCAACGAACTTGGAAGTTGTACGATGTTGTGCGTAGTGGTGGGTGCAAAGCTGTTCCTGTTGTATGCGTTTTGCTCGACAATCTACACTCAAAGAGCAAGTGCCGCAGGTGTGAAGCAAACAGTGAGTTTATTTGGCGGGATCTGTCGTGTTGAAGCTTGTCTTGTTGCCACGGGATGAATATGAGTCTCACGCTTCATATGTGGCCACATGCGACGTTAATAAACTCTCAACCGCTTTTGAAACTGTGAGGACCCATGTGACCCATGCCCAGCGGTTAAAATCCGGAAGGATTGGCCGGTCTGAGTCGTACACACGCATGCCTGCGCTTTCGATACGCCAGATGTTCACCTGCTAAGAAATGCCGGCACCTCAACTTTCGCTTGGCCTGCCACTTTTTGCAGCAACAGTGATTCATCGCTTGTGTGCTGGCAAAGCCTGCGTGCTTTGGATCGCGCGGCCACTTTTCTGCATATATAGATGTTTAACACTTGGCACAGGTTTTCTGCCCAGAACCCTAAACTCGCCAAAGCCCAAAAGAACTGGGAACCGCCCTCACCATGAAAGTCAAGTACGTTCTGGGATTGAGTAGCAATCAATGTCAAACTGTGTCAATCTGGAAAATGTAAAAAACAAATCGGATCTCTTCAATCTGGTGCGCATTGCACAGAAAGTCCTCCGCACCACCATGGCCATTCACCTCGAAACCCACAACCAATTGGCAGTCCCCTGTTGAGCTAATTCCCTGTCAACGACCCTTCAGCTCTTTGGGGAGACAGGCATGTAGGTTCTTGTGGCTCGGCTCAATTCTCGGAGACACCTCTGGTGGAGAGAGTTCCTGGCTTTCATGCGAAGGTATGGAGCCAACAAGGCTCCATAACCTGCATGTCACATTGCAGAACCCGTGCCGCACCTCTACTCTCGGATCTACGCTTGAACTACCAGTGGCATTCTTGAGTTTTGCTTCCTGGCAGCTTGGACTCGCTATACTCACGTTTTGCCCATCTGGCAATGCCCAGACAACCAAAAGTGCTCTCATGTCTATTTGTGATAGTGTTTCTTTACCAAGGCAAGCCTAGAATGTAGGCAAGAAGCCTTCTTGTAGAGTAAGAAAGTAACATCCACTGCACTAGACCAGTGCTGCAAGTTCACCTCCGGCCGGAGAAGGGATTCTGCAAGTTGATGCACCACAACGGTCCACTTTCCATCCTGGCGATGGAAATTCAAAACTTGGTCGGTGGCACAGCTGCCGCAGGGACATGCTGGGACCTTGCTTTCGTCTCGGGCTGCGCGGTATAGGAACAAATTCTTGATCGTTCTTTGCAACGACCTGGCCGTCCTTACAGTGGAAAATGCATCTCGCATCCAAACCCTTGACAAGTCCGACTGGAAACTGCATCTCAAAGTCCGGCTGTCACTTCAATACAAACACAAATCATCTGGCTGCCAATGAACTTCAAGTGATTCTCTTTGGGGATCAGTGATGCAACCACCAAACTCCTGATGAAAAAGACGAGGTTGGTCTTTTCTGGGTTTGGACACACAATGCTGTCTTGAAAGAAGGGCATATAATGTGGGCAATCAAGTGGCATTGATCTATTGAATCTATTGTAAGCCGTGCAGAAGCTATCCCCATGTTTCTATGGTGGAATACATGGCATGGCATGATGCCATAGGAGCGTTACTGTGGTTCATGCCCAGGCCGAATCCTTACTGACTTCAGTTGCTGCCAAAGGCCATGTCCTCCTTGCATGCTGCAGCCACCACGTAATTAATGACTCTAGCAGTAGCAAAAGCTCACAAACTACTCTTGGTTTCTGGTAAATCTAGCAAATGACGAGGTGAAATGCTGGTAAGAGGCATGATACACAAGCCTATCATCATAGTATAGAACCGTAAACGAAAGCAGACTCAGACTGGTGCTCAATATGTTTGCCACACGCGGTGTAAGTAAGTTAGGATGACATCCTCGTTCGGTCTTTCACAAGACAACTGGTGCGAAGGTTGTTTGAACTTCTTCCAATGGCTTGGATTCTGCAGGTGGAGGCTTTGCGCTTTGCCACTCTGGGATGTTTGGAGAAATGTGCTCCCTGGCAAATTGGTCAATGGGGAGAAACAAAACACGTGCATTGTACATTTGCTGCCTTTGCAAGTCAAGTCAAGGTCTCACCAAACAATGAAGGACTGTTGCTGCTGTGACCTGCGATATCTGCACTGAACTAAGGGTTGATATTCAGATCTGGACAACATGAAAGACAATGTTCATAAACACAAAATAGACGGGCCCTAGCTGCCCTTTTGATATCTCTTGGTGTTTTGTTTTTCTTTAACAATTCTTTCAGCTCAAGAGCGTTTCCGAAGCTAGAAAGCATATTGTGGTGGCCAATCCCCCCCCAAGCTCCAGGCATCAAAATTGTAAGAACTTTTCTGGTCGTCTTTGTCATTTTACGAGAATTAAGCTTGTGACGTGGAACAGCTAATTAAGTCAAAGTACTAATCTCTCAAATGGGCGCTGGCAAATGCCAGAATGCTCTGTTTGCAACAAGAGCTAAGGCCCTTGCATCAGGGCGTGGTGGCTGCTGGGGGCAGTGGCTCCGAATCGCTGTGCAAATGGGAAAGCTATCCTGCACTCACAAATCGCCTACTGAAAAAAAAACTCATCAATGCTACTGTACTACTTCGTCCTTGAGGACGTTGACCAGCCCTTCACCAGCGGCAACACAATGAAGCAATTCCGATTTTCGAAGCTGGCGGTTAGAGTTTGGTACCTTGTGGCTGGCACATTCACACGAGGGCACATTCACATGAGTGACCAGTCCAAGTTTGTCCAGAACAGGAGGGGGGTAGAGTACATGGTTGCTTCCTGCTGTATACAATCAACCAAACCAAACCAAAGCAAAGCAAAGAAAACTAAACAACAAACCAAGCAAGCAATCAACAAACCAATCAACCAACCAAGCAAGCAACCAACCAGCCAAGCAACCAACAAAGCAACAAACCAACAAAGCAACAAACCAACAAACCCCAAAGCAGCCAACCATCCAAGCAAGCAAGCAAGCAACCAAGCAACCGGCCAAGCAAGCCTCCCATCAACCAAGCAAGCGAGCAACCAACCCAGCAACCAACCGAGCAACCGACCAAGCAAGCAACCAACCAGCCAACAAACCAAGCAACCAAGCGAGCAAGCAACCAACCAAGCAACCAACCATTCAACCAAGCAAGCAAGCAACCAAGCAAGCAGAAACCAAGCGACCAAACAAGCAACCAACCAAGCGAGCAAGCAAGCAAGAAAGCAACCAACCAAAAAAAAACAACCAAGCAACCAACCAACCAAGCAACCAACCATTCAACCAAGCAAGCAAGAAACCAACCAAGAAACCGACCAAGCAACCAAGCAAGCAACCAAGCAACCGGCCAAGCAAGCCTCCCATCAACCAAGCAAGCAAGAAACCAACCAAGAAACCGACCAAGCAACCAAGCAAGCAACCAAGCAACCGACCAAGCAGGCAACCAAGCAGCCAACCAACCAAGCAACCAACCAAGCAAAAAAACAAGCCAAGCAAGGAACCAACCAAGCAACCGACCAAGCAAGCAAGCAACCAAGCAACCGACCAAGCAAGGAAGCAACCAAGCAACCAACCAACCAAGCATCGAAGCAACCAACCAGCAAGCAACCAAGCAACCAACCAAGCAAGCAAGCACCCGTCGGCTTGGCAAGCAAACAAAAAAACAAGTCGGGAGAGCTCGATTCGTAGAAGTTATAAAATACTGTCAGACAACTGAGCGATTTCCAAACCGATTATTTAGCCTCAGCTTAGGACAAACAAACCCTATGTATATATATATATCCCTTTATAGCAAAGTTTGATTTGTTTAGCCAGTCGATGGGTAGGCCGTAAGAGTAGTAAACTACTAGTAGCGAATGAGTAGCTTCTTAGGCGCCACGACGCAGACTAGCGCTCAGGCTTCCTTGAAGATTGAAGAATGTGTAGTTTGGGGCTGACCTCTTAATCAACTAAGCAGGAAGCTACTTAGTTAAGTGGGCGGCTACTATGCTACGCAGGATAGCTTACTAGTACTAGGGACACAGGATAGCTCACATTTCTTCAAGAAAGCTCCCCCCCGCCTGAGGGCAGGGGGAAGCTTCCTTGATGAAGCCTGAGCTAGTCTTAGTCTGCTCCCCTTGGTTCCTACATCTTTAGGGAAACTTATATAACTTGAGATGAAAGTGATTCGATTACACAATATTCAACCATTCACAGTAGCCTGTAGATGCCTAGCAGGACTCAACCTCATCAACTAGAACAAGAAACATCTGGCCACCAACTTCTGTGGTTGCAATCAGCACACAGCATGGCTTAATCCGCCGACCCCGGTCGAAGAAGGGGGAGCGCGCAAGGGAGTACCGTCACTTAGGGGTCAGACACATGTTGCAGGTATGAGAGTGGCGAGGTCAGGTCTTCGGGGCCAAGATGAGCGAGACAAATGGAAACAAACTGGTTCGTTTTGGACCAGACTTAGATTGGGAAAAGCCGTGGCGGGGTCAGGTGTTCGGAGCCAGACTTTGCACAAGAAATGAAAGAAATTTTTTTTTCTAGGGAGCGTGTGGCATTGCACGTGTTCCTAATAGCAGGTGTTCGGAGCCAGAATTTGCACCAGAAATGAAAGAAAAGGTAAAAAGGTATTTTTCTAGGGATTCAGAGGGAGCAGAATTTGCACAAGAAATGATGAAAGAAAAAATTTTTTCTAGGGATTCAGAGGGAGCGTTTGGCCTGGAAAGTGCAACCTTTCAAACCCCTCAAACCCCTTAAACCCCTCAAACCCCTCAAACCCTTCAAACCCCTCGAACCTTGCCAATGGTTCTGCCATATTGGCCGCCTCAAACCCCTGGAACCTTGCCAATGGTTCTGCCATACTGGCCGTTGGAGACGCGCCAAAACCCCGCACTTGCTGGACTGTGGGCCCGGGGCTCTGTGCGCTGGCCGTTGGAGACGCTCCAAAACCTCGCACTTGCTAGACTGTGGGCTCTGGGCTCTGTGAGTGCAACCAGGGGAGGCTCGTTTTGGACCAGAATTAGATTGGGAAAAGCCGTGGCGGGGTCAAGTGTTCGGAGCCAGACTTGGCACAAGAAATGAAAGAAAAGTTTTTTTTCTAGGGAGATTCAGAGGGAGCAGAATTTGCACAAGAAATGAAAGAAAGTTTTTTTTTCTAGGGAGATTCAGAGGGAGCAGAATTCGCACAAGAAATGAAAGAAAGTTTTTTTTTCTAGGGATTCAGAGGGAGCGTTTGGCATGGAAAGTGCAACCCCTCAAACCCCTTAAACCCCTCAAACCCTTCAAACTCCTCAAACCCTTCAAGCCCCTCGAACCTTGCCAATGGTTCTGCCATTGCACTTGTTCCGATTGGGAAAAGCCGTGGCGGGGTCAGGTGTTCGGAGCCAGACGTTGCACAAGAAATGAAAGAAAAGTTTTTTTTTAGTAAGGAGATTTCGAGGGAGCAGAATTTGCACAAGAAATGAAAAAACAGTTTTTTTCTAGGGATTCAGAGGGAGCGTTTCGCATGGAAAGTGCAACCCCTCAAACCCCTCAAACCCCTTAAACCCCTCAAACCCCTCAAACCCCTCGAACTTTGCCAATGGTTCTGCCATTGCACTTGTTCCTAAGAGCAGGTGTTCGGAGCCAGAAATGAAAGAAAAGGTAAAAAGGTATTTTTCGAGGGATTCAGAGGGAGCGTTTGGCATGGAAACAAACCCCTCCAACCCCTCGAACCTTGCCAATGGTTCTGCCATACTGGCCGCCTCAAACCCCTGGAACCTTACCAATGGTTCTGCCAGACTGGCCGTTAGAGACGCTCCAAAACCCGGCACTTGCTGGACTGTGGGCCCTGGGCTCTGTGCGCTGGCCGTTGGA